AACTTTAACGATTGATATATAAATGAACAAAATAAACAATACTTAACATGTTAATACCCTTCCGGATCACCTGATATCACCTCCAGTTTCTGTAAGGGTTTGTGTTGCTCTGTCTTTAGTTTTCTATGTTGTTTTTTATGTACTATAGTTTGTCTGTTTGTCTTTTTCATTTTCAGCCAAGGCATTGTCAGTTTATTTTCAACTTATGAGTTTAAGTGTCCATTTGGTATCTTTCGCCTCTCTGTTACTTTTATTGTCAGTCCGCATCCGGTTTCTATAAAGTATTATTTTTCTATGTCTTATATGTCATACTAAAGTGAAATTGCTCCGAACGTTATTATTTTGTTACAAAACTAAAATAGATTACAGTCTTTAAAGATGAAGGTGATTCAATCAACGAATGAAAACAATGCAGACAATATTAACTAAAATACTGTCCGCGCAACTTTTATGTTTTGTTAATTTGGTATTTCTTTTATTTTGCATTCTCATTAATGTAAGTAACTATTTTAACAGCGACTATGTTTTCACTTTTAAAAGATACAATTAAACAAATATAATTGAAATGATAAAATAACGGATAAAACAGATTACAGCGAACATAATAATTTATATAATTAATAGTAGATGGTTGTAGTTTACTTCAATCCACCTTACGTTCACGAAATGAGGATAACAGAACACATGTCTTTTTAGATCCACCAAAGACACCAATACAGATTTTATATCAGTGAATCGAGTTTCTATATCTGATATAATCTATAGGCATGTCAGTTATTATCTATGTGAGTACATTTTGTTTTACTTTGCTACGTAAAATATAAATAAAATTCTGTTCGACAGTCACTGATGATTTTTTGTAGGCGAAACTCGAGTCAGGCATTCGCATTAATAACTGGTATATATGATGAGTTTATCTTAATAATAATAATAATAATAATAGTATTATAATAATAATAATAGTAATAATAATAATAATAATAATAATAATAATGATAATAATAATAATAGTTAGTTGTGATAATGAAAATACTTAAAAAATATACAATTCATGAAGGACAATTTTAAAATTGATTTTAAAAGTTTAGCATGACTTTTGCGTGCAATATGATAAAGCAACGAACATGATTTAACTTTATAAATAAAATCTATATACTAAAATAGTCGTAAGCAATGACAATGGCGATGCTACAGTTGGTAATGCCAAACAACTATATGGTAAATGGTTACTGGTAGCATATTAATGGTGTTTGTTGGGAAATGATTGCTTCACATGTCTTTGAAAGTACGCATATGTGCGGGTTCATATGAGGCGCGTACAATGCACATTTGTTGTATTTGAGAGGTAAATTGGGCAACATTTTAATTAGGGTACTAATGTATTAGTTGGTACTTGATATACAAAAGTAAAGTTAACCAGTCCTTTCACACGTTTGCTTAATCGATAGCCAAACGAATACGATTCCACATTCTACATATTTTGATGCAAACTTACGCCTATTACTGCAGTCATACATTTCGAAACAAAACAATTTTACATAGTTTTGAGGAAAATTTGATATCAGCCAAAATAGTATCCAGAAAAGCAGTTTATGATACATAAAACCATTCTTGGCAGGAAATTTGTATACACTATGTTATTGTTTAAATAGTATAGGATTTGACTCTGATCAACATTGTAATTTGAAACTGTAAATTTGAACGGGGTTTCTTTGTGAATTATATAAGTTTTTGGTTACAGGCAGATTAAGTCAGTATGGTCATCTCGTGATCAGGGTCAAGATGAATTATCTTTTGTTTTTAATTATTTAATTGACCAATGAGAATAACGTGCATGTTATCTCCACATATGTGTTTAGATTACCCGGCATTCTCGAAATTTCATTTAATGCTATCCGACGATAATTGTGTATTGTCAAGAAAAGTGAAGATTTTAATTTTTTTTCTGCTTGTTCATTGATGGTTGCAACATTTATTCCCCACATTTTCAAATTATTTTCATTTCTCCAGTTTTGGTTTATAACATAATTGTTTTTAATAGTCAGTTGTATTGAGGTTAATGAATAAATTACCTTTATCGCAAATCTTGTGTACGATATAATGCAGATGAACTAAAATCCTTAGAGTATGTCACTCTCTCTTCATAGGTTGGGGGAAAAAATATTGCTAATAAAAAGAAATATTTTACGAATGGCAACATTTATATTAAAAAAAAAATTTAACTTAGCATTCGGACTAGGCCGTTGTTCATATTTAATGCAAGAATATGCAAGGAAGGATGTTATTTTGATGTACAGTTTGTCAATATCAATTTTCACTTTTGAATTGCAGTTAGTATTACTTTTTTATTCTTCCACATTTGCAAACGGTTATTTTAACGGATATGATATTGTTTTATCAAATATACATATTCAAATGAACACAATAACGGAGATATAAGCAAGCAGGAGTTTCCTATTCCACATTTGATATGATAATTTTTGCACGTATATTAGTTTCAGTCTGGGTTTTTATGCTGGATTTTTTTTCTAATGAGTTCAGTGCCTGTATTTCGTCCATCTGCATAGATTGTGTTTCGTTCAAAGTTAGCAATATAAACTTCAGTTATTTTTGATGTCATTCTATGTTGTGTCTTGTGTTTTGTGTATTGTTGATACCTTTCGTGGTTTTTCGTCTATTGCCATAGCTTGTCATTTTTTTTATTGATGAGTTTGGATATCCCTTTGGTATATTTTGTCTCTCTTTTATATGGCCATAAATATTATGTTTGCTTTAAACATTGTGTCGAGGTTCGAAATCATTACTTTTAAATCTCCTGACGATTTTTTTTACCACAAAATATGCCAAATAAATAAATAAAGAAAAGTATGATTCTGTGAATTAATGGCAGCTATAAAATATAGTCCTTAACCGTTAGAAGCTACAATAATCATTCGCATGACATCTAGTGACTAGAAAATCACCAAGTATATGACATTTAATGGGTGTTAAACCCAGATTTACCTTCAAACTATAATCCTGTTTTGTCTAAACAGACCATATGTGGTATCATTTTAAGATGCAACAACAAAACCTGTACATTCCAGTTACCAAATGGAAGTTAACTAAAATTAATGAAAATAATAAACATAGGCACATAAGTCTGCCTTTGAACAGGTACAAACCGAATTTATACGGACATATATGAGATGAGTTTTCCTTATGAGCTTGGACAGTGCTGTAAAATCGCAACAAAAAAAAATTGTTTGTAAATTTACTACATAGCTTTAATATGCTACATTAAAAGCAATTGTTCGTGCATATAATTGCTTATTAACTAAATTTGATATAAAAGATATTTACGAATTGTCATTTACGAGTATGTGACCATTGTCAAAAAATAAACAATTATATAGCCCTGGTAACAAATTGAATTTTACATATGTTTGCGTAATGAAATTGTCTCGATCAAATTTCGTGACGATTACATTGATCTTAAAATAGTTTGTGTACAATTTACTTCTTTGTTTGACATGTTTTATTTTTATCCTTTTAAACAAATTATGCACTTACAGATATATTTTAACTTAAATAATGGACAGGATCATGTGAGAAAATTGTGGTGAACAAAAGATTGTAGGTTAAAGCCCTGGAATATCTTTTTTTGTGTTCATTTCTGCCATTTATGTTTGCACGTTAATTGACAATGTTAAATAATGCGATGTTAAGATAAAGAAAAATGTTCTACTCCAACATGTTTGTGTGACTTTCCAAATCCAGGCACTTGGTCAGTAGTCGTAAGTTTATATATTTGTCCTCATTCATTTAGGAGTAGAAGTTGAAATTTATTTTTGCCACTGCATATTTTCGTAAACCATACACTGACCCCTGAATGTCAGCAACAAGAACCTCACCAAACTATTCGGAATGAACAGTAGACAGTTCGATACCTACTATTTGCGGCCATAGTGTTGTTCTTATTTTAATCAAACTTTTGGTGATTCGGTCGCCTTTGTTGATGTAATTATAGAGATTGTGGCAAACGACAGGTGGAACGTATCCGTTATAGTCCGTGACACAATTACATTAAATACAGTTCAACAGTTTCACAGGACGAAACTATTTCTTTTATTTACGGTACTGAATGCAAGATGTTCAGAATAGTGAGGATATCTTTTTGACTTACAATAAACATATGTCGACGTGATAAAAAAATATAACAGACAGTACTTTTTACATTCAATTGTTGGACATGACATCAGACCATCGCAACTACAGAACCCATTAACAAACTCTCTTAAGACAATACATGTCCTTTGATTTAAGAACTAGAAAAGGACCAAAAGACGGACAAGATAGCCTTACTTATACAGGTAAACTTTAACGATTGATATATAAATGAACAAAATAAACAATACTTAACATGTTAATACCCTTCCGGATCACCTGATATCACCTCCAGTTTCTGTAAGGGTTTGTGTTGCTCTGTCTTTAGTTTTCTATGTTGTTTTTTATGTACTATAGTTTGTCTGTTTGTCTTTTTCATTTTCAGCCAAGGCATTGTCAGTTTATTTTCAACTTATGAGTTTAAGTGTCCATTTGGTATCTTTCGCCTCTCTGTTACTTTTATTGTCAGTCCGCATCCGGTTTCTATAAAGTATTATTTGTCTATGTCTTATATGTCATACTAAAGTGAAATTGCTCCGAACGTTATTATTTTGTTACAAACTAAAATTGATTACAGTCTTTAAAGATGAAGGTGATTCAATCAACGAATGAAAACAATGCAGACAATATTAACTAAAATACTGTCCGCGCAACTTTTATGTTTTGTTAATTTGGTATTTCTTTTATTTTGCATTCGCATTAATGTATGTAACTATTTTAACAGCGACTATGTTTTCACTTTTAAAAGATACAATTAAACAAATCTAATTGAAATGATAAAATAACGGATAAAACAGATTACAGCGAACAATTTATAATTAATAGTAGATGGTTGTAGCTTACTTCAATCCACCTTACGTTCACGAAATGAGGATAACAGAACACATGTCTTTTTAGATCCACCAAAGACACCAATACAGATTTTATATCAGTGAATCGGGTTTCTATATCTGATATAATCTATAGGAATGTCGGTTATTATCTATGTGAGTACATTTTGTTTTACTTTGCTACGTAAAATATAAATAAAATTCTGTTCGACAGTCACTGATGATTTTTTGTAGGCGAAACTCGAGTCAGGCATTCGCATTTATAACTGGTATATATGATGAGTTTATCTTAATAATAATAATAATAATAATAGTATTATAATAATAATAATAATAATAATAATAATAATAATAATAATAATAATGATAATAATAATAATAGCTAGTTGTGATAATGAAAATACTTAAAAAATATACAATTCATGAAGGACAATTTTAAAATTGATTTTAAAAGTTTAGCATGACTTTTGCGTGCAATATGATAAAGCAACGAACATGATTTAACTTTATAAATAAAATCTATATACTAAAATAGTCGTAAGCAATGACAATGGCGATGCTACAGTTGGTAATGCCAAACAACTATATGGTAAATGGTTACTGGTAGCATATTAATGGTGTTTGTTGGGAAATGATTGCTTCACATGTCTTTGAAAGTACGCATATGTGCGGGTTCATATGAGGCGCGTACAATGCACATTTGTTGTATTTGAGAGGTAAATTGGGCAACATTTTAATTAGGGTACTAATGTATTAGTTGGAACTTAATATACAAAAGTAAAGTTAACCAGTCCTTTCACACGTTTGCTTAATCGATAGCCAAACGAATACGATTCCACATTCTACATATTTTGATGCAAACTTACGCCTATTACTGCAGGCATACATTTCGAAACAAAACAATTTTACATAGTTTTGAGGAAAATTTGATATCAGCCAAAATATTATCCAGAAAAGCAGTTTATGATACATAAAACCATTCTTGGCAGGAAATTTGTATACACTATGTTATTGTTTAAATAGTATAGGATTTGACTCTGATCAACATTGTAATTTGAAACTGTAAATTTGAACGGGGTTTCTTTGTGAATTATATAAGTTTTTGGTTACAGGCAGATTAAGTCAGTATGGTCATCTCGTGATCAGGGTCAAGATGAATTATCTTTTGTTTTTAATTATTTAATTGACCAATGAGAATAACGTGCATGTTATCTCCACATATGTGTTTAGATTACCCGGCATTCTCGAAATTTCATTTAATGCTATCCGACGATAATTGTGTTTTGTTAAGAAAAGTGAAGATTTTAATTTTTTTTCTGCTTGTTCATTGATGGTTGCAACATTTATTCCCCACATTTTCAAATTATTTTCATTTCTCCAGTTTTGGTTTATAACATAATTGTTTTTAATTGTCAGTTGTATTGAGGTTAATGAATAAATTACCTTTATCGCAAATCTTGTGTACGATATAATGCAGATGAACTAAAATCCTTAGAGTATGTCACTCTCTCTTCATAGGTTGGGGGAAAAATATTGCTAATAAAAAGAAATATTCTACGAATGGCAACATCTATATTAAAAAAAAAATTTAACTTAGCATTCGGACTAGGCCGTTGTTCATATTTAATGCAAGAATATGCAAGGAAGGATGTTATTTTGATGTACAGTTTGTCAATATCAATTTTCACTTTTGAATTGCAGTAAGTATTACTTTTTTATTCTTCCACATTTGCAAACGGTTATTTTAATGGAAATGATATTGTTTTATCAAATATACATATTCAAATGAACACAATAACTGAGAATATAAGCAAGCAGGAGTTTCCTATTCCACATTTGATATGATAATTTTTGCACGTATATTAGTTTCAGTCTGGGTTTTTATGCTGGATTTTTTTTTCTAATGAGTTCAGTGCCTGTATTTCGTCCATCTGCATAGATTGTGTTTCGTTCAAAGTTAGCAATATAAACTTCAGTTACTTTTGATGTCATTCTATGTTGTGTCTTGTGTTTTGTGTATTGTTGATACCTTTCGTGGTTTTTCGTCTATTGCCATAGCTTGTCATATTTTTTTATTGATGAGTTTGGATATCCCTTTGGTATATTTTGTCTCTCTTTTATATGGCCATAAATATTATGTTTGCTTTAAACATTGTGTCGAGGTTCGAAATCATTACTTTTAAATCTCCTGACGATTTTTTTTACCACAAAATATGCCAAATAAATAAATAAAGAATAGTATGATTCTGTGAATTAATGGCAGCTATAAAATATAGTCCTTAACCGTTAGAAGCTACAATAATCATTCGCATGACATCTAGTGACTAGAAAATCACCAAGTATATGACATTTTATGGGTGTTAAACCCAGATTTACCTTCAAACTATTATCCTGTTTTGTCTAAACAGACCATATGTTATATCATTTTAAGATGCAATAACAAAACCTGCACATTCCAGTTACCAAATGGAAGTTAACTAAAATTAATGAAAATAATAAACATAGGCACATAAGTCTGCCTTTGAACAGGTATAAACCGAATTTATACGGACATATATGAGATGAGTTTTCCTTATGAGCTTGGACAGTGCTGTAAAATCGCAACACAAAATCAAACTACACATAATGTTGGCTATAATTAAGATTGCAAACATTTCCGCCTTATTTGGAAAGCAATACTTTTGGAACCTTGGGATGGGTTACCTACAATGTAAATCTTTAGTTGCAGGTTATGCATTATTGCATGCAATAATATATAGTGCGATATGTATACATTGTGAATGCATTTGCCAATATGGGAAATTAGCAGTCGCAGTGCCTTAGCATAAATTGTATAACGTATTGGAATCAAGAAGTGTTTTAAGTATTGTAATTTTCATTGTTATTAATAAATGTAATGTCAGTATTACAAATCTAATCTTGAATCAATCCTAATCCTATCTTATTTTTGGGAAATATTTTTACAAATCCAAATGTGACGTCACTTTGTGTGTTTTTTCAGAATTTCAAATGTAACGTCACTTTGTGCGTTGAGGCTTTGGCTAACTCGGCTGTGTAATTTTATGTGTTGGATTAAGTTGTTTTATGTAATGTATCCGTTTTATTCTGTAGTTAGTCCCCACTTAGGTTTCATCATGTATATCTATTATATAGTCATTTTATAAAATTTACTGTTTGCAAAATTATAAATTATTCTAATTAATAAGGATGTTCTTGTCCCAGGCAGAAAACCCTGGCCGTGTTGGGCGCAACTTTTTGGAAGTTTTGGTCCTCGGTGCTCTTCAGCTTTGTACTTGTTTTGGCTTTCAAACTTTTTTTTATCTGAGCGTCACTGGTTAGTCTTGTGTGGACGAGACGCACGTCTGGCGTATTGGATTTAAAACCTGGTGCCTTTTGTTAGCTATTATTCGTGTGTTTCTTTGTCCTATATCTTCTCCTATTTATTTGTATTGTAATCCTGTCATGTAATGTTGTCATTTTAATGTTATATTTAACATTGCCATAAAAGCGGGAGGTTTGGCATGCCACAAAACCAGGTTCAACCCACCATTCTTTTCTTAAAATATCCTGTACCAAGTCAGGAAAATAGCCATTGCTCTATTATAGTTCGTTTCTGTGTGTGTTTCATTTTAATGTTGTGTTTTTGTTGTGTCGTTGTTCTCCTCTTATATTTGATGCATTTCCCTCAGTTTTAGTGTGTAACCCGGATTTGTTTTTATCTCTAACGATTTATGAGTTTCGAACAGCGGTATACTACTGTTGCCTTTAATTACGTAAAATTTAAAACAAGTGAAAAGTTACATTTTGTACGTTGCAGAAAACGGTGTCGGCATTACTATAAAGTGGTAGTATTTCACCCTTTCACTATAAAAAAATAACCGGTATTTAATTCAAGTTTCTAACAGATTGCAGCAAGGTTCTGGATACGTAACTATATTTGCATTAATTTAGATCGACCTTGCGACCGGTTGCATTAATTCTGGTGGATTAACTGTTCTTTGTTCTTGGAATTTTTACGATCACAATGACCGTTGACTTATAAAATTAACTTCTCTGAACTTTTCTGTAATACCTGCAGTTGTCAGCTGGTTGTTTTATTTGTGGATTATAACATTTTGTATGGGATACACTATTTAGATCTGGTTCAGCAGCTTTTGTAAAAATACTGTCGTTGGGTGGAAAACTGACACATCTAGATTTTACCAATGCAAAACAGTCTGAGTAACACCTAAAAATGTTTATCACTTAACTGATATTTTCTAGAATAGCTAAACACAATAATCAAATATAAAAAAAAATCAATGAGTGACGCGTTGCCAATGATTAAGTTATCTGTGTTGTTCGGTCACGACTTAAATATTTTTCAATATTGGAAGTCTTGTTTTAATTGTTCGTTTCATAACGTTGGCTTTTGGGAAATAAACAAGAAACTGCCAGGAACTATATCTTTTCCTATGCATTCTGAATTTGTTATAATGCAATATCACCGACAACGTCTGGACAACAAACATTGTTGTTTGACGTCTGAGGAGGGACTTAATCGAATTTATTTCACATGTGAAACGATTGGATTTTATATATATATATATATATATATATATATATATATATGCCACCAAATTAATAAAAACATATTGAAACGTCTTGAAATTAGCAGGTAATTGACAACACTAGAAATGAACGATAACAACTTTTCTCAAGCAAGTTATTTTTTTCCGGATGTGCAACATTTATTTTGTTTTAAAAGGTCTTTTCCTGCAGATCTAACAGTGATGGTGGACAGTTGACGCATTTACATATAGAAAACATAATTCTAGTTTAATGTGTTAGTTTTGCTTTTGTTCATATAATATGCTGATGTTTTTTCAAGTTACAATATTTCAATATTTTTCCGCTTGGAGAAAGAAAATCAATTATCTCTTTTATCAAAGTAATATTTTTTTTTTCGAAGTATTTCAAGCAAAATTACAAAAACGGGTATGTTGAAGAATCTTAGCAGCAATTAATATGCTGTTTGGTTATTATTTTACTCACAACCTTAGTTTTGTTATGTTTGGTAATTGAAATTAATATTTTTGATATTTGAAACACATTTATTGGTCATATACTTGCTACTGTATGAATTTTAAGCTTTCTATTTATCAGATTTCATCGTATGTGACGTATATAGGAATGGCTACTTGTATGCTATGCCCGCATGTTTCCCAATGGAAATTGAGAGCAAGGGGATATTGTAACAGCAGTCATCCATGGTACAGTTGCCTATATGACGAAAATAGCATGACTTATAAAGAATTCTGCAAACCAAGTCCAGATTTTCAACGTCCAGGTGACTATTTATTGTGATTCTTAAATCTCATTCTAATTTGATTCATATTCTTATTGTGGTTCAAATTTCAAATACATTCTATTGAAAAGAATCTGAAGCATAATGAATTTACAAACAAAACATGTGAAAATTAGTTCAAAACAATTCCAGTAACACACAAACATTTGTTAAGCAATGTTATAACAACTGCCAGGCCTTTTACACGGGTATTTTTTTTTCTAAACTTCCAGACGAAGTTAACAATTTGTTTAAGTTCTCATCATAGAACACATAACTGAAACATTAGACATAAAACAACAAATAAGTATGTCCCAAATAAGTTCCTTCCGTAAGGACAATGACAAATTATATAAACAGATACCCATTTTTGTCTTCAAAATATACCAGAAAGAACAATATAAATCAATGATATTGATTCTAAAAATAATATCCCCCCAAAAATATCGCATAATTTTGACGTCTCTCTGTACACATGTAATACCCAATGACAAACTAACGTTTTATATAGCAATGTCTTAAGTGGATGATTATATTCGGATACATGTAATATAATCTGAAGAAACTATAGAACAAACCTTATGCATGTTATAGGCACTCCCATTATCTTAAATAGGCACGTCAACATTTTTCTATACCCAATGAACAATACATATTCTGGTACCCATACTATAAATAATGTCGTCCCGGAGAATAAATTAATATAAGATATACTAATATAACTCATTTTGAATAGTGAAGACAAATTGAAAGAAAAACTTCAACTTTGTACCAATAGAGACGATGGCTATATCCTTATTGTGGACGTTTCGTCTTTATGAAGCCATATTCAATCTCTTCCTGCCTGTAGAAAAAATATCTCCTAGTTGATCCGATATTTCAGACTTTGCGTTGTCTATCATATTGTCACGATAATGGGTTGCTGCTTACAAGGAAGCTATTGAACCAAATAGTTCTTATCACCTCCTTCTTTTTTGGACATATTGTCATCATTGACATCACTTGTCGTTATATACCTGTACAAAACTACAGGTATATGAACTACATCGTAAAGAATTGTTCAGCAGATAGACAATACGTTGCTATTATATCGCAAATATATTCGGATGGTGAAGTGAACCGTAATAAAAAAAAAGATAGTTATGTGTTATGAACATTTGTTAACTATGTAAAGGTATCTTATTTGTACAATGTCTTTAGGTTACAAATTTGTTATACGAGGTGACATTGATGGAAAACCCTGTGATGACGAGCATTACCAGCCAATTAAGTTTTGGACAAATGGAAGTAGTGCATGCATATTTAAGAAGTCGGATTGCAACGGTAAAGGTCAGACTGTATCAAACAATGGCAATGTCACGTCAAATAAGATGTGTCAATGTGACTACACAAAAGGCTACACATTCGTTGCCAAACCAAGGAATGGTTGTCACTGTGACCCGGCAAGAGAAGATTGTTCGTGCTATTTGATATCATGCTTGTCTATTGGAGTTCTTTCACCTGGTAACTGAATTTGATTATAAATATGATATACTAATATACTTACAAGCAAAGTTCATACACCATGGAAACATAGCTATCCGTAATGTAAAGAAAAGTAGGATTTATCTTTCAGGTCTATGAAAAGTTAAGAAAAAACGATTGTAAACTATTTTGAAAGCAAGGAACCCACATCGTGTATGTCCTCCATTTTTTAAGAAAAGATAAGACCCCTCCATTTCACCTATTAGTTGTAGGGATAATAGGTCGACGGTGAGTGTTGAAAATTTCTATTATAATTGATATGTTTGCAATTACTTGGTAAACCACGACTTCAAATGTATAATGAAGCAGGCTTTTTTTTTTATATAATTGGTCATGTTGGTGTAAACAATATTTCATTATGAATAATACAAGTATAATTATAAACACATTCACAGTTAGGATTCGGAAACAAGCAACAAAAGCTTATATTAATCCGTCTCCTTGATAAATTAAATACATTATACATAAATAAATCAAAACTACATGCTCTGTTACATAATAAAAATATTGATAATGTCAGTTGAGTTACATAATGAACTGAAAAGTAAAGAAAAATGCAACTGATAAGACGAAATGCTTACAGGTTTATTGTGTGAATTATTAATTTGTAAACCTTTTAGATTTAATAATGAACCTTTGTACCATGAGAAATAAACTAATGTTTTCTTCATTTGAAATCGTATTTGAGCCATTTAATAGAAATTCGGTGTCTATTGGTACTGTTAATTTTAGGCTTCCAAATGATATTATCAGTTCTTGTCTTATGTCTGAATATAGTGGGCAAAATAATAAAAAATGTGAACTAGTTTCTAAGTCAAAACAGCGACATTTAGGGGAAGAAACAAAGTTTCTTGGAAACAAGTGACAGTTTAAAGAACTACTATCCATTCTTAGTCGCGCGTGAAGATATAATTGTATGTAGACTTTAGCAAAACCAGGACATCGAAAATCAGTTTTAATTAATTTTTATCTCAATGTACAAAAATTAGTTAACACCAAATTAAATGAATCCATAGTATTTGGCGGTTTATATATAGTTAAAGTATGTGAATACCATTAAGTATATGTTTATGAAATAATGTCACAAAAAGGTTTAATTACAGTTGATGAGCAAAATTTATATTTTCAGATTATGAATGCATTAACAAAATTAACTGGGATGGTAATTTTAGATGTCCACTCATAGACTACCAGAGGTTAGATATCTACAAATGTAATCAATATTTCAGTTTTGGCATGCACGTTAAATATTGGAATTTACCCATGTTTGATTCAGTAGTTGAACAGTTAGAGTGTCTTTGCCGTTTATTTGGAATATTTCATTAGTTTCTAATCAATCAGTTTTTCATGATTTTGGTTTCTATATATTTGTTTCGAGATATAAATTTCTGTATAATTAAATAAGTCTTGCATTGGTGGAACACTTATTACAATGTTAGATACGATGTTTCCTAAATATCAATTTACAACAGTTTTATCATTTCTTATTATTTCTTATAATATCTTTAAATTTTCTTTAATATAAAACAGTATGACAAGTCAAGCAATCACTAGATCCACAGCATGTCCTTTTGCTGCAGGGACACAAGGTTAGATTGTTATTACCATTAAAATACGCCTTTTGTGGTAAATATTTCGTTTGATTTAAGACATTTATCCAACTAACTTATTGCTCTGATTCCCTCTGTCGTATTTGCCTTACTATTTTTAACTGTTCATTCAAGTGGAATGAGCGCTTATGTTATTTTAGCGATGTTAGTTTTGTTGTTTGTCTACTAAATATCTTTCAAATAGCTACAACACCTTCTACAAACTATCAAATTGAAATCTTGCGGGAGTTGTCCTTAAAATTACATGAATAAATTCATCAAACCTCAACTCTTTTCACATTATAAAAGAACATCTTGCAACAAGTTACTTTATTTCTTCATCCAAATACATTTTCCATTTTCAAATATTTTGGCCACGGGCACCACTGAAGAGACATAAATTGTCAACATGCGCATCCGGTGCAGACAATTGGTACTGTTACGATTATTAATCCTAACTGGAATCCGAGATCAAAGCAATGAAGCTCGAAGACCTACAAGACCGTCTAAAAAAAGACAAATACGAATGTCTATGGAAACTAACAGATTGCCTATAGAAACATGTCGAGTCTTCTATCACAGAGACCTTTGGACCGTCCTACAGATAATGGATGGTTTAATAATTGATAGATATGAAGAGATATATTGAAAACAATAGTCACCATTCTATGAACACGAATGAGAAAAATAAATAGAGACAATTCACTCCGTTCGGTCTTCATAAACAAGAAACCCCAATACATGGTAAACAGGGATTTTAAACAAGTTAAAGTAATTATGCTTAAACAATAAACCAAAATTAAATATTGCAAGCAGCAAGTACTGATTAACATCGATACTTAAAACTTCGATGTCAGAACTATGGCTTTCCATTGCATAAAGAGTGTTTTATGATATTTGAAATAAAATTGGCAACTTAACCTTTTTATTCAGTTCATGTATTTTATCAAGTAGCAAAACAGTTACAGTATAAAGAACAACAAATACTGGATACTTCATAAGAGTTCATTACTTTCAGATGAAAAGGAACAAGAAGACCTCAATTGGAAGGGAAAAGCATGCATTGCAGTTCTTTCTTTGATTATTACAAGTAAATGCTTCATCTGTTTTTCAGTAATTACGTAGAATTATGCATTGCCATACCGATCAGGTACCACAGATTGGATATTCCCAAAAACAATTCTGCTCTAGTATTGTTTGTGTTCAGTCCATTGATTCAAGAATAAAGACAAGACATAGTTATCCCTTATACAAATATACAATGATATAAAGTGAGACGACGACTATAATTGCATTAAACAAACTGATTTAGGTGCAAAAATGAAACTTAAGTATAGTTTTCCTCAATTGAGATACGCACGTTTTATGCACAACTTATTACCATTTCAGTAGCATACGACAAAACAAAAACAACATTGGCAATCTTCACAGGCCATTCATAATTGTTATAATTGATTTTTCTCGGTACGACCAATGATGAACGGGATTTACTTATATATTCTTAAACGATATGATAGGATTTTAGGCATGATATTTGTCTTGTGAAAACATTATTGCATGAGGCAATATACGAAGGTGAAATAATATCATTTGATGTTTTCCATATAATGTAATTGAATCTCTCATAGCAAAATGATAAACAAAAAAAAGTGCAATGGTCTGCTATGGTAAATCCAATAATAATAATGCCAATACATTTCTTTTGTTTGGTCAACAAACGATATCTTTAAAGTACACTTAGTGTCTATGATATTCTCACAATTTGTTAGTGTACAAATTAAGCAATATGCAATCTGCAGATTTTTCAAGTTGTCCATAACCAAGGGGCAAACACACTTAGAACTGAATATCATCTCTATAAAATGAAGAGATAGGAAAAGGGAAGAAAAACCAAGTAAACAATCAAAAACCATTACACCAATACAACATATATCATACAACATTCAGTAAAACCAGGCAACAAAAGGACCGAAGAGCAACAAGACGAGAAGGCACAGAACATTTCACAGTACACTGTATAGAAAATTAGATATTGCTCAATACATACCATAAAACACTCTGCATTTGTGTATGCTTAAAAGGGTTGGATATTGGTGCTTACAACGAGTAGACAATTTTTTTTCTGCTCCACTAGTAGAACTATTCGCCTTTAATAATTCATACACACATTCACCTAATACATCGATGATACCTTATATTTCAAAACATAGTAGGTGTTCTTATTAAAGGAATGTAATGAATTGCAATGTGCAGTGTAAATGTACAAAACTTTAAGAGTCCAACGTTTTATTTAACGAACATTTAACATAAAGAGCAATGTGTCGAGTCATACACGCAACAGAACTGGGATTTAACAAGTTGCGTGTGTATTTCATGTGGCCAAAATATAGCATTTTAATGTAAAGACAATTTATTTTGTGGAAATATAAACTGACATATCTATGGCATTTAAACCTGGTTGTTCTTTCAAAAGTAATTTTCGTTTATTCATTTTTTTATTATCACAAATGTTATATGCATAAACAACATAAAATATACTATCACATCAACTTCATTTCGTTCAAATACTAATAGACGAGTCTAATAACAAAAAAACACTATTGCTTTAAACCTTAATGTGTTTCAATTTTCAGGTTTTTTCATAATATGTATGTTGAAGTGTGGTACAAAGTATAGAACATTTTCAAAAAATGTCAGTAAGTATAACATAAATCTTGTATTTCAAAACAAATTATTGTACATGCAATGTTCGGCCCTTACAAGTCTCATAGTAATAGCTAACTATGGAAATACATCAAAATGAAAAGGTTAATAAATTAATGTAAAAGTAAATAGAATTTGGTTGTATAAAATCCCTTTGTAGTTATCTAGCAAGTGCACAGTTGCTTCAATAAAAAAACATATCTTGTTAGGCTATTACTTTTTACTTCGTCCATTGATGGTCTTCTGAAGATAATCACTTTTACCTAAATGTTCAATATTACACAGCAATATGTCAATCGACAATTCGCCACAATCACGATCATGTTTATAATACATAATTTTAACTTTTAACTCGCGTCTTTCCTGTTGTCTCTTGTACTGTCTAAATGTTTAGTATTTGCAACTGTACATCATAAGATGAAGGGATTAAAAACCTTTCACAAAAAAGACTCTAAATGCATGATCATGTCCGCCATTGTTATGTGTGCTCAGTTAATTTGTATAAATGAGTATAGGAATGAATTATTGCATATTTTTTGGAGACATTCACCTTGTTCGCAAAACATTTTGTTCGCATACTTATATTTTTCGCTTGAATATTGGAGTTTTATACACCTTGACCACTATTTTATTACAGAATGATTTTAATTGTTATAAAGTTTACTTTTGGTGATCTTCACTCCGCCACTTTTTTTGTGTTTCAATGACACATGTACCTACATCTGTGCCCGCTTCATAATTAGTTTAAATATCAGTTGATCACATTGCTGATTATATTCAATTTAAATCATTATTCATGTACAATTAGTATATATGTAATATTGTTCTTTGAGTATGCCGTGTTCGTATTATAATACCTATAGTCAAGTAAATATTGAAATGAATCAAAATAAATTCCGAAATCAATACGTGGTCTTTGAATCATAGTTGTTTTTATAAAAAGTTTTTAATCCCTTCATCTTATGATGTACAGTTGCAAATACTAAACACTTAGACAGTACAATAGACAACAGGGAAGACGCGAGTTAAAATATCATTTCAAGCAAAACTTCCAATCAAAGAGATCTGATATGTTTTCTTTTTTTTGTTTTTCTTCTTCGATACCTACTCAAATTCCGTCTATTGTCTAAACAACTATTGCCTGTTGACGTTGTGTATCGTATGAGGACATGGTCTAACTATACATATTACATGTAAATGTAATAATATGTATATGGTAGTTTACACAATTTATGTCAATCTATATTAAGGATAAAATCGTCAGAACAAATGATGTATCAAGAGGGGATTTAGCACATAAGTAAGTCAACGATAACTCACAACACCGTCTCAAAAAGAAAAAGTAAAACGTCAAACGATAAAAAGCTAATGAATACATCATATGACACAAATCCATCAATGAGAAATCAGCATTAAAATCGAGATTGAAAACAGGTGTTTCGGAAGAGATAGCAGTTTGTGAACCAATCGTGACGCCTGTCGTGTTGTACATTGCAAGTAAACCGGATGAATCGCATTCGGTGATGTCGAAAACCGGAACAGGAGGACCATAGTATAGAAACGACAATGTGAACTTGGTGATTGTCATATTCAACACGAAAATAGTCATCAAAGATACACATAGGGATATGCAGAGTGTTTACTATGTTCACGAACCTTCTTGGATGAATTTGGTGACTTTAAATAAATTTAGCTGTTATGTGTTCGGTCACTTTTGGTCATATACCTTAATATTTCTATTTATTCATTTATCCCTAGGTTTCAAAAGTTAATCGTTCATGATCAAGTTAATCCAGACAAATGCATTGGACGTACGAAATATATAATAACATTTCCGATTACAATTTTACTACACCAGATGCGCTTTTCGACAATTTATGTCTCTCACGTGGTTCTGGACGGAAGAATATTTAAAATATAGAACATATTAATAACTAAGAGCTGGCAATTAGAAACAAAACCTAAAGTATGACCAAAAAACCGAATAAGGATTCAGAGCTTTGCATGAAGGAGAAATATTCATGAATTTCAAAAAATTTCAAAGTATCTATACCGCAAGTTTAAATTGCATAATACCCATATTTTCATGTAAGAACCCAAGTACTGGCTATTAAGCTGGCGATACCAGCGGGAGCTTACGATTTACCAGCAGAAGTATCGAATAGTAGTAATGACATTAATAATACCAGTTATACAACACCAAATGCGCATTTTAATAATATTGTCTCTTTAAATTTGCTCGCGGCAACACTATTTGAAATCCAAAACCTAATACAAATTTTGAAGAGCTGATCAAACAAACAAAAATCTAAAGTAATATTATAGATATTACTTTTAGTTTGTAGGTATTAACCCTTTATCACGAAAACATAATGAGAAACACAATCCTTCGAATATTGTATATATTTAGCGCAATTGATTCCATGTTGGGATTCTGTTTATATGTTTGATTCGTAGCAATGAAAAATTCAAAAGAGCGCAATTCAAATAAACCCTTTAACCATATGTTTTTTCCATACCCCTCGCAGTTTCAATCGTTTCATTTGAAGTGTTTTTTATACTATTAATTGTCTTTTCAATCACCAGAAAAGCTTTGGAATAACAATTCATGCTCCAAAATATTTACACGCTAAAAACAAATGCAAATGCACAGGAATAGCTACTTTCCTTTTTTATATATATATTAAGTATTAAAGTAAAGCCCTTATCATTTGTCTGTTTTTCATCAAATTATGGTATTTCGTTGCTTTCTTAATTTGTTTCCCCAAAATTTAGGTTTAAGTCATAAAATCAATCTGAAAGGTTATTTGCTAGTTGGATGATATTAATCATATCCTGCGAATCTGATGCATTATTCATACTTAAACAAATATTACAGGAAATCTTCAAGACATTAAAGACCAGACCGAGAGAGTACAGGATGAAATTCAATATACCAAAGGTAAGCATCAGATAACAACACATGTAAATAGTTATTATGTTCCTTATAAAGTTATGATTCCATTTAAACAATCACATTATTACGATATGGTTGCACATGGTTTTTTTTTATTATTATTATTCTTTATGTTATATTTGTAGAGGCTGGTACAGTTAAACGTTGCATTAAGGTCAATATTAAGGATATTATTAATACAATAAAATGTGAACCGATTGTGGGCCATCTTTTATCAAAAAGGATACTGACTGATCAAGATAAAGAACAGATCTTTTTGTGTCTAGGTCCACAAAAAAAGAATAAGAAACTTTTAGAAATTGTCTGGCAAAGTGGTATAGAGGCGTGCAAAGCATTTCTAGCAGAGTTAAACAGTGACCCAAGTTATCGGCATCTTGTTAACCAGATCAAGAAAACTAAAGGTAACAATATCTTACTTATATATCAATAATTGTTGATTCACATTTATGTGAATATTTTCTTCGTTAGAACGTGTGTGCATATATAATCTATGAAGCTAGTATTGTTCTAATAAAAAACAATAAGAATGTATTTTTAACACGTTAATCATTGTAATGAAAGTAGTTATTATATATTCTTAAGATTTACGTTACATTACGCTGGATTAACTAGCTACATCAGCAATCCAGGTGTAATAGGATGGTGATAAAACAAATTGCAGCATCTTGTACAGTTCGTTTAAACAGATATAATTGTATTGTGCAAACTTTCTATTTCTCTCTCTCTCTCTCTCTCTCTCTCTCTCTCTCTCTCTCTCTCTCTCTCTCTCTCACCCTATTTTCCACCTTGTGTGTCCCAATTTTGGGATAGTCTCTCTTATTTTAAAGATGATATTTTCAAAGGAATGTCCTGTTCTTAAGATTTGAAAGTGCTGTATAGTCACCAACACTGAAAGCACTGTCATTATCAAAGTAACTAATCAGCTTTACAGCATATATGTAAACATATAAGTTAAAAAATGGAAAATAGTCATTGTGTTTTTTCTTGCGGGACTTGTAAGCTGCAATATGTTAGAGTAACAGAAACCAAATTCTACATCAATTAAAATAATCACTGGTCATATTAATATTACAGGAGGAAATTGCTCAATCACGATACGCCTCTTCAAGTTTCTTGTCTTCGGCAGGGATTAATTGTATTTTGTTAAAAAACAATTACTCTGATTCAAACAAAAAATCTTTAAAACTGACATTATCAAGATGCTTGATTTCTTGATTGACAACACATTTCTTACGTTCAAATGACGTTTCTTTTTGTACTCCTCTTCCTGCCGACTTGTTCCTTTATTCATACAGGAACTTTTTATGAAGGAACAAAAGAAGTTACCAGTATTATTTTACTTCAATTTTAGCTATATAGATAGTGTTCTCTCACTAAACATGCTACATAATTCAATATTTGGTGACTATGTTGAACGAATCTTTCCCATCGAACTTGAGATAACGGATACAACATATACAGTTAAGTCTGCCTCATATATTGACTTAGATCTAAAAATTAACAATGAGAGTCAGTTAAAAACAAAACTTTACGACCAAAAAAGATGATTTCAGCTTCCAATTTTTTATATTATCTATTTCTGTGTAGCAACATTTCAGCAGCGCTTGCATACGGAGTATACATCTCCAAGTTGACACTATATTCTAGGGCTTGTATTTCAAATCATGATTTCCTTGATAGAGGGGTGCTGCTCACAAGGAAGCTATTAAACCAAGAGTTCCAAGTGGTAAAGTTGAAATCGCCCCTTCGTTGATCATGTTAATTGTACGGACGCCATCACGAGATGATTGCCCGTTATGGTATATCTGTTTCACAGTAACAACAATCCTGTTCCCTTTTCCCTGAATGTGACCTTTCCAATACGACTTTTTTCATCGGGTTTGTAATAACATAAGCAACACGACGAGTGCCACATGTGGCGCAGGATCTACTTTCCCTTCCGGAGCACCTGATATCACCCCAGTTATTGGTGGAGTTTGAGTTGCTCAGTTTTTGGTTTTCTATGTTGTGTTTTCTGTACTGTTGTTTGTCTGTTTGTCTTTATTTTAGCCATGACGTTGTCAGCTTATTTTCGACGTTTGGGATTGACTGTCGTTTTGTTGTCCTTCGCCTCTCTTTAAACAATAAGACATTCTTTTACAAATATATATTTAGATTTAACATAGGGTTGATGTGTTGATAAACGAAGTAACCAACACATTATGCAATAACATGTGTAGTTGCAGAATTTGATTGACATTTATATTTGTTTTATTGAATTTTACCTCATTATTTGCAGGCGCAAATACTTTCTTGATCGTCTTTATCGTCAGTCTATTTATCGATATTGTGCTTTCATTTTCCCGAACATAATAGTGGTATAAAATACCTACTGCATGGGTTGCATCCTCAAGTTATTTAAAGAGGTTGTCAAGTTATTTAAAGGGTTGTTAAGTTATTTGAAAAGTATACGTTGCACAAATTATAGTATTTTACATGTATCAATGACAATAGTTTCTACCAAACTCCATTGTTCCTCTGCTGTAATTGTAGGCGGTATTGATGATTATATTGAAGAACTGGACATTGAGTTTGATGGCCTTAGGAATGTCAAAGTTCCTAAGGAAATTAGTGGTAATTAGACTTATCTAACTTTAATTTATCATTTATAGAGATGTTTGATGTTTGGTAAGACAAAAGGAACAGGTATAATTTCAACATTCTGAAGAATATTTTGTGAATTCGTCACTGTTTGTATTTTCTCTTCAATTGTAAAATATTTTATTAAACTACAAAACGTTGAATTAAAATAGCGTCATTTTTGACGACGAGCTTATATTTTATGTATGATTTAATATCTGACTAAAAGCAATTTACATGATTTAGTTTATAACTTTTTATAAGTAGTTATCGTTTTTTTTTTATAGTTTTCATTTTATCTTTTTTGTGACAATTTTTCCTATCCGCTACTCGCTTGAGATTAAAAATTATCATCAGAAACTAAAGGCGCACGTACATTTGTCAATGTAAACATTAACCTCATAGGGAAAATAGCCATACACAGATTATCAATGGTTTTTAAATTCCAGGTTGTTTCTTGACCACATGTCATTTCAGGGATGTTGCCCTTTGATGATATTGTAGCTGAGGAACACCCTCTCGTTGTAAAACCCATCGATAATCTTCATATATACTATTGCAGATCTTCACGAAAAATATCTCCTCGCCTGGCAGAAAGATGATCGCAAGTTTATCATAACGACTGTCGTACAGCAGGTAAAAAACAAGCTGCTTGATGACCATTGTGTATTACTTGTCGGAGGACCGGGCACTGGTAAATCTTCAATTATGAGACACTTAGCACTGTATTTGTGTAACGAGTTTGGTTTTGATGTAGTTCCAGTAGAGTCAGGACAATCTAATATTCTAGAGTTTTACAACTCTAGTAGGAGACAAGTTTTTGTTGTTGATGATATGTGTGGTAAGGAACATATCAACATTCAGTTTGTAGAAATTTGGAAGATAAAGATCAACCAAATTTTAAAACTAATTGAAAAAGACACTCATTCAATAAAGGATTCTGGAAACAATCGAGTTAAGTTTTTATTTTCTTCCCGGTTAATTATTTGTCAGGACAGAATTTTTCAACACTTAGATATACCTGATCAATATAAATGTGACATTTCACAGTGGAAGCTGACCAATGATGAGAGACAGCAAATGTTGCAAATGTATCATGCTGAAAATATTAAAATAGAGTCCGGACTTCATAAAGAGTGTCCTGTTGAAGACTTCGAATTTCGCCTACTTGTAAAACTTTCTGAAGGAAAAACTGCAGCAGAAATGCGTCAGTTATTTCAAAGTCCACTAAATTTTATCAATACTGATTTAATAAGAATAAAGGAGAGTAACATCTTTTGGTATTGCGGGATAGCATTATGTGTACTCTTTGACAATGAGTTGAAGCCAGAATGGTTGGGTGAAGAGAGTAGCCCTTTTAACATAAAATTAGCTCTTGCAGAATTCTATTCCGAAATAAGTTTGGATTTGAAAACAGATTACATATCAAAGCGTATTAAAGAAGAGTTGGAACAATTAGAGATGACTAGATTACATGTTTATATTACGAAATTAGGAAATGTATATCACATTGAAAACGTGAGAATATTTGATATAGCTGCAAAACTTTGTGGTCAAATGTCCTTGCGTACATTCATAAACCATGCGTCTAGTGAATTTATCAGCGAACGATATACTTTTGATCGTTCATACCAATTACAAAAGATCGTAGTTGAGAAAGCGGAGAATAAAAAATGGTATTTTGACCGAATACTGAAGGATCTGGAAAACGGGATAACCTACAGCACATTTCATAACTCTCAATTAGCAAACAATATTTACAGAATAGAGTTATGTAAATACTTTGATCAAAGACATTCAAAGATAACAGAGGTTTTCCTCAATTTAAATAGAATTGAAAAGGAAAGTGTGCATGGTGTAGATAACATTACAAATTTGAACCCTTCTAATAAAAGAAGCAGCTTTATACAGCTAGGTTCAAGAATGTATTCGTACACCCAAAGAAGTAGTGTGCCTATTATTGAATCGGTATGGTTAGGACATTCCGAATTAGTAAGACAAGTTATAAAAATGAATTGCAACGTAAATGAAATAGATCGATTTGAAAGGTCAGCGATACTCGTAGCCTCTTTTTTAGGTTATATGGAAATAGTAAAATTATTGTTTGAAAATGGTGCTAAAATGTCCGTATGTGATAATCAAGGGCGATCTCCAATGTTTGCCGCATGTGAAGAGGGTCACAACAATGTGGTAGAATATTTATTTGAAAAAGGAGCAAATATACTAATTTGTAATCACTATGAACGCTCCCCCCTTTTCATTGCGTGTGCTACTGGTCATAAAAGTATAGTGGAATTTCTGTTGAGGAAAAATAAACAAAATATTTCAAAACCGGATATTTTACACGAAACACCGCTTTTTATTGCTTCTGCGCGAGGGCGAAAAGATATTGTAGAAATTCTTTTAGAAAACGGTGCTGATAAACGTCAAGTTGATCAAAGAGGGTGCTCACCTCTTTTCATTGCAGCAACGAATGGGCATTACAAGGTTGTTAAGTTATTACTTGAACGAAAATGTGACATTACTCAAACTGACCATGATGGCCGTTCAGTATTATATATTGCAAGCCAAGAGGGGTATAATAAAATTATTAAACTATTCATAGAGTATGACAAGAGCTTGATATCGAAGTGTAACTGGTGTGGTAAATCGTCACTCTTTGTCGCTTGTGAGCAAGGACATTTAGAGGTCGTGGAAACTTTGATTGAATCAAGTGCCGATGTGAATCAGTGTGATGAAAACAGAAAGTCGCCATTATATGTTTCTTGTGAAAAAGGCAACCTCGATATTGTCAAAAAGCTATTAGAAAACAATGCTCATATTAAGAACTTTGATAGGGACGGAAGATCACCATTTTATATTGCAAGTAGAGGTGGATTCGTAGAGATTATGGAAGAATTGCTTTTGAAAGGTGCCAATCCATTGCATTGCAATAAGTGGGATGGATCAGTGCTTAATATTACCTGCAGGGAAGGTCATGTAGATGCAGTTAAACTATTACTTCTGAATAACGCAGACGTGTCCAAAGCAGATTCAATTGGTAATACGCCTATTTATATTGCTTCAGAGGAGGGTTATGCCTCAGTTGTTGATATTCTTCTAAAAAATAATGCGGACATCAATATATCAAATAAAGAAGGCAAAACTCCTTTACATGCAGCATGCACAAGAGGTCAGGAAAACGTGGTAGAATTACTATTCAGGAAGAAAGCAAAACGTAATCCAAAAGATGCAAATGGAGAAACACCTTATGATAAAGCTAAACAACGAGGGTATTCAAATATTTTGGCTATTTTTGAACGTATTCAAGAAGGCAAATGAGTAGCAATGTATGGTTAATCTTTTGAACTGTTTTAGTCTGTTATCTTTTGCAATCCGTCTTACATATGCATGATATTCTCTTTTTTTGTAATTTAGTTAACCATATTTACTGTACTGTTTTTTTATGGATTGGTGTATCAAGATTAGTACTGTTTTGTTTTTATTTTGTAGGGAATGTTGATTATCATGACTACATATTTAAAAGTGAGACATGAAAATAAGAAGACGCGGTATGTTGCCAATGAGGCAACTCTCCAACGGAGACCAAATGACATAGAAGTTACCATCTATAGGTCACAGCACGGCCTTCAGTAATGAGCATAACCAACACCACACAGTAAGCTATAAAAGTCCACCAAATAACAAATGTAGAACCATTCTAACGACAAAACCAACGGCCTGATTTATATACCATATAATAAACCAAAACCAAAGATGAGATATACAGCAATACACACCAATCAAATTAAAGGCTCCTGACTTGAGATGTTCTTTTCATTTTTTTAGACAGGCATATACAGAATGTGGCGGTGTATACCGTTGAAAAGGGATTAACTTATCAGATTAATACAAAGCATATAAAACAACTTACAAACACACAAAAGACACACAAAAGAACTAATCCGAAAGTACTCGCAGTAACTGAAAGCTACTTCAAAGCCAATAACTAATAAAATAATGTATCTAAAACTAAAACATCAATTAGTACAAATACAACATCCGATGGATTAAGTGTAAAAACGCCATTATCAATCAAAGAAAAACATAACCTTGTGCGATGCCAAAATATAGACATCGACATTTTGAATAACCGTGAATGTACATATGCCCATAACAATAATACTAATATCTAGTGTTGTTTTAAATTATTGATAATAAATACAAAATGTATACCGATAAACCAATATTCAGATATATAATTTCAGTGTAGGATTGGTAGTCTTAAACAGAAAGTTTATTTAAAGGATTGCTGGACACGCTGAATGCTAAACTGTATGATACATTAGTATAATAAAGTTGCTAATTTCAACTGTTTTATAAATTACTTCGGGTATTAAATGGTTTCCAGACCTATAGCAGTAATTAACGGTAGCAATTATACTGAAATATATATAACTCACTAGAAAGGAAGTCCACTTCTGCATTTTAACTGCTTTCTTGATTATCTTTTATATATAATTGGTTTCGTAATTTTTCTGGCTTCCTTAGCGATGACTTTAGGAAGGTCGATAAAATTTTCTAAAAATCTGAGAAACACAATATGAAATATGATTAAAAATAGTAAAAATTACATATATTTGATGTTTAAAGGTTATTTGAAGTAGACGTGTTATGAAAAGGTATATTCTCGACGCTAAGGTGTATAAATTAGACTTTTAAAGAAAGGACTGTGTCAAATCATTGAATGTCGAATTCAAATCGTATGCCTGAAATTAACTTGAACTGTATTAATTTTGAACGTCTTAGTGTAACATATCGAATATGTTAATTATTTTATTCATTGTATTGTTTGTGCTTAAATGACGGGAAAGGTGTACTTGTGTGCGTAAATTGGGTTTGGGTAGGGCTGTTGATGCACTACTAGTTGAAACAAAATATTAAGTACACCAATTTGATTTTTTTTATTAACCCAAGTTCCACATATACCGATAATCGCAAGTTAATTTTTTACTTCTTTGTTCTGTTCTTGGTTTATAACGGCTAACAGGGTACTGAGCGGAGAAGGATATGAGTATATTTTATCAGCTAACATGACAAAATCCTAGGAGAAATCTTCATACCTGGTTCAGTCAAAGGCAATGAATTAAAATTGTTGAGCATCTTTCTAGAAATCCACTGTGTATGAATCTTATATGATTCTTATCCTCGACTGTGTTGGACTTTTAATGACACTAGCCGCGTAGCTTGGCTTAATTTTCTACGGTCGGCCAAGATGTACTTCAACTTTTATTTTCTCGGCTTCCAATATCTCCTTCCTTTAGCATTCATTTCCTTTCTGCAATTCCCTTGCCCCTTGTCAGTGTTCAAAAAAGTTAAAATAATAAAAAAATACCGAACTCCAAGGAAAATTCAAAACGTAAAGTTCCTTATCAAATGGCAAAATCAAAAGTTCAACACATCAAACCAAAAGAAAACAACTGTCATATTCCTGAAGTTTGTTTTAAATCACGTAGAAATCCGATGGTAGCATTGTGACGCTATCCGAAGTGCGATGGACTGCAGAAACTTTATTTTCAATGCTGTTCATGTCGACGCCGATGTTTATTTGTTTGTCAGAAGCAGTTTTTATGGTTTTTAAGTAAATAAGGGGTTTATAAATTTTTCATACTACGGTACATGGGCAGTGATTGGCGGAGAAGGAACAGTGAACCTCCTGTTGAGAATTTGTTTTTTTAATTCTACAAAAGGTTCTCTTGTTTACATACACTGGAGCGTGACATTCTTTAAATACATACGCAATGGCAGACATACTCTCCGTATTATAATATTACGGTAGACGGAGAACGCAAGAGAGGAACCAAGAATAATGTTCATGTATGAAATCAAAGAAGACGATCTCTCATTAAGTATGTAACTGTAACTAAGGATATACATAGACAATGACGAATGCAAATGTTTGTACTAACCATTACAAAAATCTACTTCGCATAATAATTGAACATCTGTAGATATTTAACTAATATCGTGCGTAATATAGACCATCGAACATCAGCAAACGGCCCATTGCACTTCAGCGTGAATATCGCAAACCATCGTGATCATCGCACTTCAGAGTCTCCATCGCAAATACATATACCTAACTTGTTTAATGATCGAGTCGGTTACAAGGTGTGACATAAGATTATTTTTTTGAATCAGAACCATTTGACCCTTTTTGAATTTTCATTCTATCCTTGAAAAATCCCGACAACACAACTTAATCATTATTTTTTTTTTTTTTTTTTTTTTTTTGCACTATTCCTAAAATCCTGAAACAACGCTTTACAATTATTAGTTATTTAGCGACAAAAAAGGTAAAACACATCATTATTTTTTCATTTTAATCTGATGAAAAGAAATACATAAGTACAAGTGTCCAAAAAATACATATAACACAAAACGTAACGACATACTAATAAAACCTTCTCCCTCATACCAGACATTTACTAGATCCTAAATCATGGTTGATGTACCAAAGGTAATAATTTCTTCCAAAAGTCATGTGCTTGTTTCGAACCAAATCAAACAAGTCTTTTTCTTAATATGCCAAATAGTTTTTCCCGACTTTTTTGTCTATCGTTCAGTTGAATTTAAACCGAAAGCAACATTCATTCTATGTAAAACATAGCTTAAGTTGGTGATATTGACCATAGTTTCCCTCTCAATAACCGAGAGACTCGTATAAAGAGACCATAGTTCTCTACCACTCATGGGTCATCAGTTACATTTGCTTGTCATATATGTAAAATATGAAAAGGAATTATTCCATTGAAATTGGTCAATTAGTCTTATAGTGAAGTGACCAAGCCAACAAATTTTCAACTTTAATGGACCACCCTAACTGCAGGCTAAATTATAAATTTTCGTTTAGAGAAATGTTCAAACTTTAAATTTTGTCTGGTCGTAGAATCGTTGAATGGTGCAAATTTGTAAAATTTGAGGTCAAAGTTCGGAAGTTGAGTTTTTCAATAGTGTAAAAAAATCACAAGGGGTTATAAAAAGTCAGGAAATAATATATGAATTGTGAAATAGGAAAGACATTACTCCTTTAACGAAAGAATAAACAATAGCAGTTCACTTTCGAGTCAATTTGAAAAAAAAAATTTAATCACCAAATGCGCATTTTTAGGGAAATTCAGGTGGGCAACAAGAAAAAGGTATAGACAAACAGGAAATGGATTTCATTTGATATTTTGTGTATTACATGTTCATTTAAAGATCTATTTCTGGTTTTCACGCGGTTTCTTAAGAAAGCATTGAAGTTTATTTTGTTTTTGTTCATTTATATACCGGTTGCAAGCGGCAAATATTTCAATAAGTAACCGAATAAAATGGTTTAAATGAAGTACTGATAGGTAAACATATATTTTTCTGTTGTGAACATTGAGATTGTATTTAACATCAGCAGCATACTAAATACCTCTCAGAAAGAGTTTCTAAAAGGTTCTTTTAGATGCAAAACATTTTCAGAAATCTGGCCTTAATTCTCATTGCTTTCCCCTGGGTTTAACTTTAAACATAGTCAAAGATCTAACCACCATCCATGAGTTCTACTGTGAGATGTGTATAATTTTCCAATATTTCTGACTTTACATAATTTGTTTAGGCACAGTTTTCATCGTCGTCTTCTTCAGAAATTGCTTCAAGAGGAAGATGATTCCTACATCCCTCAGACCCTCCGAACGATCAAATACTTGGACAAGCCGAACTCTTTATGTTGCATACACAACTTTTATTTCAAGCTCTGTATCCTTGCATGTTAAAACAAGGTCTTGAAAGAAATATTATGACATAGGTCTCTCGCAGAAAACCGGTATCTGTGTTTAATTCTTCAGGCAAATGTGTGATCTTTATAAACAGTAAAGAAATCGTCAATGATTTTAGTGCTTTTGGACAAGTCAAAACATGAACTTCAACAGTAAAGGATGAAGGAACGCTTTCCATACTTTTGGTTCAATGCTTTTAAAACAGTTTATGTTTCTCTATCAAAAAGTGCTTTAAATAAAGGAGCCATGAGTGCATTATAGGGCAGTATTAATTCTGGGACACTACTATTAAACTGTTTGCAAATAAGAATACGTCTACTGTATTTCGAGCATAAACACCAGTCAACTCATATGTCATCTAGCCTAGATAAAGTTAATAACGGTTGCTATAAAAGAAAGATGAAAGCCCATGATATTCTCATATTAAAATAATGTGGGACTATAAAACGTCTCCCAAAGGAGATATTTCTTATTGGGCATCAGCATGCAATTGCTGGTCTAACGTTTAGACAGCATTTTGCTGAACATATCATAACATTATTTCATAGGGGTATATATAATAAACTGTTGCAATGTTTGGTGTATATGACTGGAGCATAAGGTAGAAACGTATATACAAATTTGAATTCTTATAGCCCTTTGTAAAAGTTGGTCCGAATTGGGGAAATTTTGTCAGATTTTTCTGCAGAAATAGGTATTGGATCTAAGTTTTGTTTGAAATAAGTTGAATAAATATCAAAGACTTGTCCGAAGTATCGACTTTTTTCCTTAAAACAAAACCGAATCTCCCCATTAGCATAGGGAAAACAAGGTAAATAATTTGTTTTTAGCTTGTCAATTGTGTATTTTATCATAAGTTAGTTATTTGAATCACTAAACGTCAAAGATCTGTCTAGTTCAAGCTAAATTCTAAAGGGACTTATCATAGCGTTTGACGTGTCTGTTTTATACTGAAAGACAGCCATAAGTTTGGAGTGAAAAGTATTTTTTTTTACCATCAATTGTCTCAGAATTGATGTCAATATAATAAGCTCCCGCTTATATTATAAAAACACCCTCTTCAAATGCAGCAGAACCATAAGGTAAATATGACATGTTTCGATTTTACTTATTACCTAATTTTCTAAGCTAATAAGATATTTCGTAATTCCGAGTATCATGCACGAAAGTTATGCGAATTTAGATTGCCTTTTACATTATTTTTATCCAAACTCATGTTGATTCTAAGGACTACATTTTAGTAGCCACACGCTACTGCTGTCACATGTGGAGCAGGATCTGCTTACCCTTCCGGAGCACCTGATATTACCCCCAGTTTTTGGTGGGGTTCGTGTTGCTTAGTCTTTGGATTTCTATATTGTGTCATCTGTGTCATCTGTACTATTATTTGTCTGTTTGTCTTTTTTTTTGGCCATGGCGTTGTCAGTTTGTTTTCGATTTATGAGTTTGACTGTCCCTCTGGTATCTTTTAGTTGGAACTAGTGAAGCTCCTGCATGTAATATTTGGTCTTCATTGCTAGTTAGTGTCTTATTTTCAGACTCCATTTCTGTCAACATTTATCTA